CTGCTCATCAATACAATCAGTGTGAAGCATCTGCAGCAAAAAATTAAAGAAAGACAAATTACTGTGGACGCAGATGTAGATTCATCCAATTGCCTAGCAACGGATGAAGATGCAGAGAATTTAATTGGTCGTTTCCGAGGAAACCTGATCATTGATGGAGAAAAAGCCTATGAGGAAGATAATTGGAGCACATTGAGAATTGGAGATCTGCTTTTGAAGGTAACAGTGACAATATGTCCTAGGGGGCTGCTAAGCTTCCCTTGGGGGTCTGCTAGACTGCCCTTGGGGGTCTGCTAAGCTTCCCTGGGGGTCTGCTAATAACACTGACAGACACATGGCAAGGGATTGAAATCACAGAATAATTTAGTGTGAGAATAGAATAGGTTTTTTTCTGCTGTAATGCAGCCAGTACCCTCAAGTCATTTTTATGTCTTAAAGTGTAGTATACTCATGTAATTATGAAATGAAACCAGACACCAACAATGGTTATGAAACTTTCTTATACAAATAAATTAAAATAATAACTTTACTGCTTCATTATTAGGTTACTGTCAGCTTCATAAAGGCATGAATTTGTTTTATTTTTATATATTTATAAATGTTTTATAAATTTTAAATTATGGTTGAAAACAACTAGACCAATTACAACATGTTTAGAATGCATAGCAATAAATCAGTCTGAAATCAGTCAATGACTGTAGGAATCCAGCAAAATCTCATGATTAGTATAGCCAATAGAAACATCTAGGGTAATTGTTTTATATTATCAATTTTCATTTGTTAGTACAAGAATACTAATACTAAATATATTGTACAGAGTATGGCAACACTGAATCTTTGAAAGAAGTAAGGCTTGTTGTTCGAATTTTGAATGTTTCTCTTTGATAGAACTGTCAGTCAAATTTTTATGAATGAGGCCCTCTAGTGGCAGGTTATCACTTTTAATGTTATTTTGTTTGTACCTATTTCACTTTTATTTGTCCCCGTTTAAACACAGTATGAAAACGGGGATTGACTTCTGTGCATGAGTCTTTTCATTCCTGTGTCCGTGCATCCGTGTGCGTGTACCCATATCTTAGACATGCATGGACCAATTACATTCAAACTTCACACATACATCATACATAATATTATATATGGCAGCCATTTTTGTACTGAAATCAAGCATTTCTGGCATTCCAGAATAGATCTCAGTTGTTTATGGATGGATTTCGTTCAAACTTGGTAAATACGTTAGACATTGTTGGTTATTGACGCTTGTCATTTTGTTTTTCAGATCAGATTCAAAATGGCTGACTGGTGGTCATTTTGTTTTAAGAAATGTGTTCTAAAAACCATATTTATGACATGCTTTGACTGATTATGTTCAAATTTGTTATATTCATTATACATCATGTCATAGATATACAGATGTATTAAAAATGGCCGACTGTTGGCCATTTTCTTTTAATTAATGCTGTTCCAGATTAGGTACAAGATGACTGAATGTCAACCATTTTAATGTTGAAAAATTATCATAATCAAGCATCAGCTTTTGAATCCATATCTCTGACATATTTATGTCCCAACTAAATTAATATAAACAAAAATTATATATCTTAAATTCAATAAATAATGGGGACTGTGCTTGTTATTTGTTTATTACAAAATTTTCACTTTCATTTTTGTCATCCTTTTTAAAAAAAATATATATATATTTTTTGTAATAACATGTTCCAATGATGACTAAACAAAACAGTCAGAGAAAATTACATGCAGCTAAAATAAAGTGTGTTACAGTATATATTTCAGATATGGCATAATAGTGATGTACCATTAAAATATTATCATTACACAGACCCCCCCCCCCCAACCCTCCAAGTTAAGAATTCTGACTAAAAATAATTCAAAAATGGTTTGCAAACCACACCCATATTCTAATATATTGATTGTGAAATCCAATAAAACAATATCTGTGAGTCAATTTGTTAAATGCTGATAAATGCTATTCAGTCATTCACACTTTATTATGTTGACACTTTTATCTTATTTGTAATCTGTCAAAAAGTATTCTTTTTACTTATCTTGTCAAAATAAAGCACAAAAAAGATCATGATATTCATGTCATTTTTTGAAAAGAGTGACATATCGGAAGTCAAGGGGGTCAAATTCTCCAGGTCATAAAGATGGCACCCCATAGCTGAAAAACGAATATTGCTATAATGGCTTCCTGGATCGGAAATGTCTTGTTGGCATGTCATGTGAAAAAGAGAGATGATTTCAAGATGAGTTGGCAGTGATTTTGTTTCCCAGTATTTTTTGGCTTGTTTTTATTTAGATCATGAATGAATATACACAGTGGTTTTAGTTCTTTCAGTTAGAACTTGACATATATACTCATTACAAAGTGCCTTCTGGTTTTGTGGTTTTAAACTAATATTTTAAGTTGCAACATTGTAGCACAAAACCACAGATAATATTATGATTTTATCAGTAGCTGACATCATTCATGTATAGCATTGTCTATTATGCAGGAATGCCAAATGTAACCAGAGCTAGATTGCAAGACATTTACTTTAATGAATGAGGAGAAAACTTGAACAGAGGATGTTAGCAATAAACTCAAACCTTACAAACAAATTAAAAAGATTTACAGATTGAAACATTATCTAAAATTAATTGCAAACTATAAAATTTGAAGTGAAGGGAAGAGAAGTCAATACACGTACAGGTATATTTCCAATTTAAACACTTCTAGTTACATTGCAGATTAACAAAATTTCTGATTATTAGTTCAAAGCTGAGTCAACCTAATTTTTCTGCTGATCTGCACTGGCTCGGAAGATGAATTCTGATTGGCTAAAAAAACAAAAGACTTGTGGCGTTGAATGCACGTTCATTCTCAGTAATGTTATGCAAATTAGAAATTCAAACTAGCTAATCATTTACAACCTTCCAAGCCAGTGCAGATTAGCCCTAATTTTTCTGTCAAATCACAGTATTGACCATTATTATGTGTTTCCATTTAGTCTGGTGGTCCTTGTAGTCGATGTCAAATGGTGTGTATAAATCAAATGACTGCAGAACGAAGTAAAGAACCATTAACAACATTAGCAACATACAGAAACAGAAAGGTATACACTTGTACCACCTACCATAAAAAACACATACACACACGCATACACAAATACATACACAGACAGACAGACACATTAACATACTGTATTTATTTTTGTGTAATTCGCGGAAAAGCAACTTGTCAGCTATATAATTTGGAGTTAATGTTTCTAGTCATATAAAATATTGATTTCAGTTCATCAATATTTTAAAAGCTATTTTTAAAATGTTACAGTAGCATGTTGTTCTAGTTGTGATAGTACCTCCACAAAAACTATTTTTGAGTTTTTCTCCGACATCTTGCTTATCATGATTAATGTCATCATTGATTTCATGTATTCAACATTAGATATTTGTATGCAAATTAGAAAGAAAACAGTGAGAATTAACTAGAATCTCAGTGAGTTCAGATTCTTACTGTTTTTTAATTTGTAAACACAAATACTATCACATCAGAATCTCACTGAGAGTATTGTTGGAATTTACATCTCTTGTCCTATCAAATATTCCCACAAAAATTTGGTCAACATTTTTGATGTACGTCCCTCAACATCACAATGAAAAAGTAGTAATCAAACTTATTCTAATCAACTACTACAGTGTCTATTACACACACAATGAATCAGATTGACAAAAATAGAAGGCAAAAGAATTTTAATAAAATAACAATACTAAGTACCGGTAATAAATTCACTGTGGAAGGTGTTTAGAAATACTGTAAATATAATGAAATGATTGAATGTCAGTAAAACCGATACACTCTTAAACAGTCGGACACAATGACAGATGCCAACTTCTGTATATGATTATATTTTGGTATTTACTAACCATCATCATTTTATAAACTTTATTTTTTATATTATCCAGGTTCCATTTGGAATCCATCTTTTCCATGATAGAGAATATTCTGGCACAACATGGATACAAATTGGAGATGCAGTTACTCCATTGGGATGAGACAGAGAAACACTCAAGGATGTGAAGAGAAATTCAATTTGTACAGTTCAGAAAGTACACTTATTTATATGTAACTAATATAATTCATTATGTCATACTTCATCAGCTGGTCAATGTGCAAATATTTGAAAATGAACTAAAATGGTGGACATTAGGATATACAGACAAAGTCACTTTACTAAAAAAGAGTAAACAATTAGCATATTCACAGCCTTTTCCAGGGATTATAATGTTGGTATAATAATTATAGTAATAATCCGAATAGATTGATGGATTATGCAACATCTTATGGTATGCTCAATTTCAGCCAGGAGTTACTGCTTAATTATAAAAAAATCACTTACAGATATCCTTTAGTTGAAAGGATTTGGGTAAAATTCTCAAATGGTTGGGGAAATCTCATTGGATTGAAAACAAGTACAGCACAATGCTAAAGAATTAATACTTGGAGACCCTTCAATGCCAAGGTTATTGAATTTTTTGATTTTGATAGCAAAGAGATTTATATACATATCCAGGTATAAACAAAAAATAGAACCGAGTGAGACCATTTTCCCCTTGAATGTACTTTGCAATGTAATTGTAATGATAGTGGTCAGGTAATACATACTCCCCAAGCTAATAAATGGAAAAAGTATCGTTGGAAGGAGGATATAAAACAGAATTTTGTAGATAAGTTGAATTCAGACGAAGTGGTTGGGCTACTAGATAAAGCACATGATTATGTAGGCGAAAATAACGACAGGGTAATTGATTGTATTAAGGGTGCATTAAAACTAGCTGGGGAAGGATGGA